GTTTTTTTATAAAAATAAAAATAAAATAAAAAGTAAAAAAACCACAATAATAAGTAAAGTTTTTTTTAAATAAAAAATTAAAAAAACTCTCTCTCCTCGACGATTTTTTCCCCAAATCATTACTTCCAAAAACCCCGTCTTAGAGTTTTCCTAGTGCCTCCCCTCAGACGGTTCCTCCATGTCGTCCGTCACCAGGTCGTGCAGCTCGACTCTCAGAGTTTCGTCGCACCCCCTCCTCGAATAGCGCTTAGCCGTTTGCTCCGGTCGGCTACAACAGAGGTCTTGGTTTGGGGTCTCGACGCTTCTGCGACGAGATGGAGTCGTAGCTCCAATCGCCCCTTTGCGGTGGTCGGGGTCCTCCTCTTCACTGTTTCCTAATCTTCTCTGGTGCTGGGTAGACATGTAGTGTCGACGGGTGTGGGCTGGTGTGGGTCGTGGCTCTGGTCTTGGTCTAGGCCCGAGGTCCCCGATGGGTTGGGGGTGGAGGTAGGTGTGGGCCTCTGGTTATGGGTCTGTTTTCGTTTATGAGAGGATGTTGGTCCAGTTTGTCCGAATCCAGTTACTCATAGGTGTACTGAAATTTTTGGATTTGCTACTTGGCCCAGGGTTCTATTCGTGTGGGTGGTAGCCTCCGGGTGTGAATCTCGTGGTGTTGTTGCGGAGCGGCTGCGAGCAAGGGAGGGTGTTATTCTAGTTTAGCTAGTGGTTAGTGTTTATAATTAGTGTACGTTTGTGTTTTGTTTTAGGGTTTTATTCTCCATTATTGGAATTAAAATTCTCCACTTATAGGACCTTATATTTTATAGTTTGTGGGTGTTTTTAGTGGAGTAGATTGTAGACTACGGGCATTCTCGTCGTGTAGCCCTCTCTGAATTTAATTTTATAACTGCTTCAGTCAACTAATTAGTTGCTTGTAAATATGTGTTTTTTTTAATGAATTATGTCGGTTTTTTTTTTTTTTTTNTAATTGCAAACGCAATGATATACCACCAAGAATGGCATGCTAGTGAAAGACCCTTGAAAGCATAATTGTCAACCTCCCTCAAATTACTTAGAGAAGAATTTTTAGCAACATCAAACTCCCCCTCCTCAAGGGTTGACAATATATAATCATAAATCATGGATATGAATTAACACGGTAACTAAACTCCACATCAAGTACGTCAAAACTTCATGTCCAATTTTTTTTCTCTTCAACCAAAGTAGCATTTTTTCTAGCCATAATAGCCCTTGATTTACACACACATACACACATCCCGTGTGCGTAAAATCAAGCTCTTAAAAAAAGCCCATATATGCACTGACCTTAAGGCCGGCTGGCACGAAATTCGCCAAACACGCCCAAAAGAACTACCAACTACATTATCATCATACATTATCATCACACAACATTCAGAAAGCCTCTAAAAAGCTTGCCCAACATCAAATCAAAAAAGCTAAACAACAACATAAAGTCAATAACACAAACCGAACCACCACCGCGTCTCACGCACGAAGAGTCACGATCCCCACCCCCTACAGTCCTCGAACCCAAAGCTACTAGCACAGTCCAGCAACGCATTCTGCTGCTGCTCATATCTACATATATAATTCAAACCCACCAAAATCTCACAAATGGTGCCCTCCGTCTTTTCCCTATCCGCAAAATACAATGTCTGGATCAATAGAACATTCGCACGAGCCACAATCTGCTGCTGCTCGAAATTTCTCTCCGTCTGCCACTTGATCATGTTGTGGGCCAGCGGGCCCAGCCACCCGAGAAGCCCGTCGAGCCTCTCCTTCCAGTCGTGCGCCAGGTGCGCGTCGAAAATGGCCAAATCTTTCACGTAAGATTTTAACTTGGTCTTCAGAGTCTTTCTCAGGCTCGTGGGAAGCATTTGGTATAAGTCGTCTCGAGCCTCATCACCCACCAAGTGTGGGTATTTGAGTAATTTCTCTATAATGATTATTATGTTAGCATAGTGCAAGGCCAGTGCAGAACCCCCAACAGTATGGGCACCGGTTTTCGGCAAATTATTACGCCCATGCTTTTCTCCATTCCTAACAAAACTACTCTTGAGACTATATGCAACACTAGTTTGACCATCGTCATTGTCATCATCATTGACTTTCGAAGCAGAACTGCTTAGACTCAAGCATTCCATAAAAAGATGGCCCGGCCCAAGCCCGCAGGCAAAGTTGAAGTCTTCAGGCCCAAACAAGCTGCTTCCGCTTTTCTGCAGCCCAAACTTGGGGCGAAAGCTACCGGGCTTTCTCTCAACACCCATTTTGTTCCCTATTGAGCCCGAATAATAGTAACTGTTACTACTTTTGCCAGCCACATCCAACTGACGCAATTTCTGCCTCGAGCTCCTGTCAAGTGAGTGGCCATCACCAAATACAGTATTTATCCGGGCATAGACAGTGCAAACTGTTCGGGCCAAAAGCCCGACCACTTTATCAAACGTCAGGTTCCATAACGAAACATCTTTCAAGTGATTTACATCATTTTTCTGCCATACCAATTTCTGTTGGAGAGCCTTTCGGGTCTCTTCGTGCTGGTTATGTGGGAATTTCTTGGCGGCTTGCTCGAGCTCGTTCAAGACCTCCAATTCACGGTAAAGGCCTGCTGTGTGGGTCACGTATTTGTCCATTTTCCGGACCATCCCTTCCATGTCTTTCACAAGAATGCCTAATTCTTTGACGTCGATGTTACCCGAAATTATATCCCCGTACACGTGCTCGAACCCTTGCAGAGCCGGAATACTGCATTTTTTACCCAATCTCGAGACGACACTCGCGATTCGGTTCAAATCGTTGAGTTTCTCGAAAAGGGCTAATTCCAGAAGCTGCTTCTCGTCGCCGGACACGAGGGCTTTCACGCCATCGGATTTTAAGATGTCGTTTTTGAGCTTGAAGATCTCAATGTCGGAAAGGGACTTGTGCAGGTTCATAATTTTGGACATGACCTTAGCGACCTCGAAGGAGAGTATCCCGAGGGTTTGCTTCTCGTGAGGACCCTGTTTCTTAATCAATTTTGCCGAAGAGCTATCGAGATTGAGAGCGTGCTTTAAATTGGTGCTCACCTGATTCCCCATCCGCAGAATCCAAGCCTCGGCCACCATATCTGCGCTTTTTCTTCACTTTCTCTTCAGATCTGGCTAGCTAGCAGCTTGTCGGTCAGTGGCTCTGCGCCGAAACAAAGTTGTGGGAGTTGTTGGTCCGCGGCACATTAGAGAGCGCGGCAAAAATAGCATGAGAAAGAGTGAAAATAGTGTTGATGGGTGATGATTGAGTGCCGGGAAAAGTGGAAGCAGTGAGGAGCGCAGACAGATGTGGGGAATCTGAAAATTGAGTGCAATTTTAGGTGTGGTTTTACTCAAATTGATGGGTGAAACAGAGGTGTGTTGGGGAAAAGAAGAGTGGGGAAAAAAAGGAAAAACCCAAGAAAAAAAAAAGCGAGAGAGAAGAGAGATGAAGAGAGAGAGAGGGAGATGGAGAGAGGTATTTTAAAGGAGAGAGGTTTCCAATGCTCTGTTTTTCCTCTCTGTGTGTTTGTGAGTGTGCGCCTTAATCTTCCTCTTTCTTTTTTCTGTTCTTTTTCGAAAGGAAAAAGGGTAGGTTGGAGGAGATGAAGCTGCAACTACAAGTCTACAACTATTTGTTTTAAACTTTTTTCTGTTTTAAGGATTTGTTCTTTCCTATTTTGGTTTCAACTCCATTAGTAAAATACTTCAAATTTGTAACTTTAAATCCGTGCAACTTTTTGATCTTAATAAAACTACACACATTTGTATCTATCTCTCTAACCTTTAGGCTCCGTTTGTTTGGAGGGATTTGAAATCATTTGATTTCAAAATTTTTGGAATATAAATCTTTTTACTTGTATACTCCTTAAATGGATATATTGAAAATATTATAAATAAATTATCTAGCCGCGCCAATGGTGTTGACTCACGGTGGTGATGAACCTAAATGATTGCGGACGTCGTGATCGTCAACAGTAGATTTCAAAAGATTAGGTTTGAGGAAATCCTCCAAAATAATGACTAAAAACATCTAACATGAATTTGAAATATTCCAACTTCCATTATCATCCCAACATGCATAAACATTTGAACTTGTAAATTGAAAATTTAGGAATTTCAAATCCCTCAGTAAATCTCTCAAAACAAACGGAACATTAGATTAATTAGCGCCAAACCAGGATTTAAAGATAATTACCAACATATTAACTCAACCACTTTTTTTTTAACTCAACTTTAACTCAACCCCACTATCATCAATATTATCAATATAATTAAATAATATCAAACAATCAATCATACACACCACATCAACCTTAATTTACTATTCATTCACTCACATTATTTTAACTAACTATCACTTCAAATCATCTATCTTATACTTTTACATCAAATCAATTTTAATTATTTTATTTTAAATATTATTTTAATATACCCACTAATATCTAACAATACCACCTTTTTTAAAATTAACCAAACCAAACCAAAAAAATTAAACAAAACCAAAAATTTTGATAAACAAACGTATTCGTAATTTCTTGGCTGTGTGATACTGATGAAAACTTTTTATATTAAAAGATATATATTGAGATCTCCCGAGTTAAACACACACGTTTAATAATATATTAAAAAATTGACTGCAATAAAATATTTTAGGTCAGAATGTGTACTGCGGTACTGATTTGCATTAATGAACACATGCAGAATTTGAATGAGGAGCCTTTTTTTTTTATTATATTTTTCTTTTCGTTATTGGTTTGTGACTAAAACTAAATAAATGACCCCATGACTATGATGGGTGAATTTATTTTCCTTTTTAACGGTGGATTTTACATGAAATGCTTTGTTGTAATAACAATATTGGATACGTGTATTATTATTACACGAATGACTGTTAAAAAATTATATTTAAAATTAAAAATAATAAAAATATTTTAAGTTTTAAATATTTTATGAAGTCGGATTTCTTAATCTATATCTATTACTATATAATACGGAGAAGAAAAATTATTTGAACAATCCGAAAATAATTATTTCGTTTTCCCGCTTCAATATAGTGTTTTTCCCGCTTCTTCAATTCGTAAAATTTTTTTTTGAATTTTTTCAACCCATGCAATTAGGTAACCAATCAAATCGAATCTTTTAGCATTCAATTTGGTAAGGTGTTCCGATTTTATCATTCAAATCCGATTTCACTTCCTTTTTTTATGCCAATCAATCCGATTTTTTTGGTTGTTTCAAAATTTGTTTAGATTTATATTTTTATTTTATTAATATATTTGAAAGAGAATCAATAAATGTTTATCATAACTTTTATTTTAAAAATAAATTTGAATAAGCATACCTTTTACTTTATATGAAATTCAAAATTACATATTTTAATATATTAATAAACATTTATTATTTATTTTTTCCTTATGTGATATAATAGAATTTCGGTATTAAATTTGTAAATTCAAACATTTAAAGGAAAAGATTCCAAACAATTCTTTTGGGTAAATTTCATTTTATCTTGGTTTTCATTATCACATTTCTAACAAACTAATTAGTATTATATTTTCTTATCTACATTATCTAACCGATTTTTTATGATACAATTAATATAATATCTTAACAAATTAGTCATTTGTCTAACCGGATTTATCTCTCTAACAAACTTGCCAATTTTTTTTAAATTAAAATGGTATGATTATTCTTATGGAGATACTTATCAATATATTAAATATTTAGAAACTTTTTTTAAAAAATGAGTTATCCCTCCTTTTACTTTATTTGAAATTCTGAGTTATATTTTTAAATATATTATTATTTATATTTTTACATGTAAATATTTATTATTTATTATCTAAGTGATAAATATTATTGATTTATCTCTTTAATAAATATTTATTATTTATTTTTTTCCCTACGTTATATAATGTAAATTTGGTTACTAGATTCTTAAATTCAAACATTTAGAAAAAAACCACGAACAAATATTTGGTTACATTTTATTTTATTTTAACTTTCATATAATCACAATCCTAACAAACTAATTAGTATAATACTTTTTTACCCATTTTTATATAATCGGATTTTTTAAAATATAATTAATATAACATTTTAACTATTTAATCATTTGTATAACTTGATTTAACTCATTATCAAACTTGCCAAATTTTTTTTGAAATTAAAAAAATTTTGGAAGATTTTTATTTGTAAAATAATAAAAAATAGCTTTACTTTAAAGTCTGGATTATTTCCATTATTTTTTATACGTTAACAATCATATATTTTGGATTATTGATTAAAAAACAAATCAAAACCCTAAGGTTTAATAATATTCCTTAAATAAAAAATATTGTATAAAGAAAAGTATTTAATATTATATATTTTTCATTGATTGTATTTATTTTATTTTCATAATAGACGAGATATGAAAAATATAAATAATTATATTTAAAATAAAGACTAAAAAATGTTTAAAATATGAACTTTTCCGTGCATCGCACGGGATATACACTAGTTTATATTAAAGGGGTACTATTTACCCAATTAAGTAACCAGAAAAGTCAACAGCATTTATTGCATTACTATTTCTGTATTATATTATATAAAAGGATATTCTATTTACTACATTTATTATCCAGAAAAGTCAACTGCATTAAATGTCATTACTATTTTGGTATTATAATATTTTATTTATTTAATTGATTTATTTATTTATTTTATTTTAAAAAAGTAAGTATAATAAAAAGATTTTAATAATAAAAAAGTTAAATACCAAATAAAAATGTACACTTTGACTTATTTGATTATATTTAGTATTTGATTATACCAAATATATTCCTATTTAGTATATACCTTAAATACTTACTAAAGTATTTATTTGTTTTATTTGTCAAAGTTAAGTATAGATTTGTTTATATTATCAAATCATAAAAAATATTAAATCCATATTGTAAAAAAAAAAAATTCATATAATTTTATAACAATTCTACTACACTATTTAACAATATTCCTTTTTTATTATATAATAAAATAATAATTAAATATTATATGGTGAACAACAATAAGTAAAACTGTTACTTTCTCTTATATCAAGGGATAAATTTATATGCTAAAACTAAATTTTTATTAGTATAAATGTTTTAGTGAGATAATATATTAATTATTTTAGAAGCTAGCCCTAACATGCTCATATTTAATGTTTTAAAAGATGTAGAAAAAAACTTATAATAACTCTATTGTTTTTTAGACTTAAACGTTAATTAAAAGAGGTAAAAATTTCTAATTTTTTAGACTTAAACGTTGATTAACACCATAGATTGAGAGTTTATATTTAGTAAAATTCCTAATTGTAATAAAAAATTAATTTTTGCTATATTTTAGAATATCTTTAAATTCATTATAAAAAAAAAAGAAAAATAATTACAATGAAAAAAACAAGTCAGCTATATATCGATTTGTTGTACTCCTCAAATCACATTCACAATTTAGTTACAAGGAAATGAAACTCATTGATTAAAATATTACTTTGTCAGTAGTCTTAATGTACAAGAGACTTTAAGACTCCACTTGAATATTAGAAAATTTTTATTGAACATCGTACAATTTCTTGCGTATTATAAACTTTTATTGAATATTGCATCTTATAATATAATATTCTCCAAATAAATATATCTCGCGGGTCATGTAATATATATATTTTGTACATTTTTCTTTATTCATGTATATAATTATAAATCTAGATAAATAGCCTTAAAATTGTGCACTCCGTGTATCGCACGGGCTCTGTATTAGTGAGTCATAGGGAAAGAAAAGAAAATGATTTGGTGACATTTATTCCATTTTTGAATGGTAAAATTTGATTCTATATTTAATTCAAATTTCAAAAGTCCAAAATGGAATGCTCACTGCAACTTGGTAAAAGTCTTCAGTGCGCATTTTACAAAAAGAAATAAGAGTAAGTAAACTTAAAATTAATCTTGTATTGGTTAACTTTAAAAGTCAATGCAGAAAAAACAAATTAGTTCTGCATCACAAAGTGAATTCATGTTTCATGATGAGGTCTGGGAGAAGATCTAGGACCGTCAAATTTTGCAAGATTTATCAACCGC